CGTCCTGCCGCCGTTTTTGCTGGGTTTCGGGGTGCCCGGCAGCGCCTGGAAAAAGCCCGAGTTTCAGGCGGTCTCTTTCCGCGTAGGAGATGCGCCGCGGGGCGCGCAGGGCTGCAAAGGAGGGGAGAAGAGGTGCTGAGCGTTCAGTTAACTATGAGGTTAAAGGTTAATAATGCCAGGCCTTCACTGAGAGGAAAGTTAGTTAGTTGGTACCTGCAAAATGTGCTGCCAGCAGGAAAGAGAAGGCGTAGTTGCTTCTTCGGGGCAGCAGAAATACCGTTTAGCAAGGGAAGGCATTGGTGGGGAGAGAAGAGCCACCCTGTGCTGCACAGCCAGTGTCCGTAGCCTCTGGTGTCCAGTGTGACTGGGTTATGTTAGAGGAAAATATTTGAGAGAAGCTTGTGTGTGCTTATGGTGGCTCGTTGGTTTCCTTAGAGACTAGTCGTGTGCCGGTACTCAAGCAAGCAGGTTAGTGCTTGGCATTTGAAACCTTATTAGGCCGGTATAAGTTGACACAGTCCTTTTTGTTATTTCCATCACCAGGTATTTTTACACAGTGTGTGTAAGTAGAATATTTGTTTAAACCTGCTCTATGTTTCAGTTCCTTTTCCCCCCACTACCTTGTTACCACAATGTGAAGGCACAGGTGTGCTGTCCTGTGGTGCCAGTAGCAACACCTTGCAGTGTTGTGTTTGGGAAACATGAGGCTTTCCTCACGCTGAAATTTTAAGTTACAGAGTGTAAAGTTTTGCTGCCATCGCTGTGTTGTGTCACAACACAAGCAGACTTGTGTCGGAGTGTATGCTTTGTAAAGGGTGAGGTGCAGAATTGTACCAGTGCATGGTTTTTTTGCACCATGCAGCATTTTATCCAATAATACAAGTTTGAAAGAGAAATTATACTGTATTATAAAATGCAGCAGATCCATGTATTTTTAATTTCTAGATCAGTAGGTATATACAGTCTTGGAAAGTAAAAGACAAAGGATTAAACTAATGGCTGAGGATTGTGGAGGGTGGGTCAGGGCGGCCCAGCTGGTGGGCTGTAGCTCGGTGACCTGCGCCTCTCTTTGCCCTGTCACCGGCGTTCATGAGGTTCAAATGCCTGGGCTTGCTGACTTCTGAGAACTGGCTTTTTTGTAGTGTTCCTCTCTGGGATGGTAACCCCTCTTTGAGGGGGGCAGGGGCAGGTAGCTTCAGCAATTTGAGTGCTTGACTGTATCTCCCCACTGGTGACTGGAGAAGGATTTAAATAACTTTAATCAGCAGCACTAGAGAGTCCTCTGCGTTATGTAAACATTTAACCCTCTCCCCCCCCTTCACAGAAAATGGCCTTTTGCTATTTTCTGTGACTAGAATGGCAAAAGTATTTTGATGTTGACAGTACTTACACTGCATTTACTAGTTTGTTGTTTTCTTTTTTTTAAATGAGTAACTAAACAGCAATGGCAAAAAGCTTTTCTAGAGTGAGACTACAATACCGGAGGAGTTATCTGTCAGGGGAGAGAACAAAACCCAGTACTCTAGTCATGAGATGACAACAGTTCCCTCCTGTCCACCCGTCCTGATAAAGGAGCACTTGTGTTTATTTGCAGAAAACTTATGCGGGTAGCTCTTCTTAATGATGGAAAGAAATTCTTTTTTCTGATTTATAGCCTGGAGTTCTACATATTTCTGTAGTGAAGAGAGAAGTTAAGATACTGTCATTACTGAGAAGTTGAGGCAGTTTAAAGGTACTCATATGGTGGCAGTTTTAATGACAAAACAACCACAGCAGATCAGGAACAGCCTGGCAGTATAAATAAAAGTTTATTATCTGATCCCACCAAACAGCTCATGTCCACGTTTGAACAAACCTGTGGGGATCATGGTCCAGCTCTGCCTTTGCCTTCCCCCTCTTCTGGAATGACTGTTGTGGGATCGGCTGAACTGTTGCCAATTTTAGTACAGGAGGGCTATTTATGGCTTATAGCCAGAGTAGAAAAGAGTTTGTTAACAGAGCAGCTTTTATTGTGATATGTTTTATTATTGTAAACCAGGATTGGTGTAAGAGGTGTTATTACAACTTATTACAAACTCGCGTTGACATAATGAGGTCTGGGATCAGCACAGGGACCGGATAGGATGAAGACAGTAACATTAAGAAGTGAGCGGTGAAAACTTTTTAAGGATGGTCTGAACCTCAGCAGGCAAATTCTGAGGCAAAATCCATCGAACTGTGACTCTGGGCACCGAGACCCTCAGGAGAAGTGCAGGGCAGTGGCTGGCGGGAGTGTCAAAGGAAAGCTTGATATGGGAAATGTAGCTTTGGATGCACTGACTGTGAGAGTAACAGAAGCCTTAATGCAACAGTCTCATGATTTTATTCAGTGTGGTATAATGGAACAGGAAAGAAGTTACTTTGCCAGTCAGTATAAGTAGCAGAAAGATGCTGAAATTAGCTTTAACAAAAAGTAAGTTTTGAAATAAAACATTTTGGGTTTTCCATCAGGCTAACATCAACTTTCACTAAATTGGCCTAGCTTTCAAATCTATTGCTTGGAAATTATGATTATCTCAAACTGAATACATTTTCTTATTTTTACTATATAATCATTAAATTCTAAACTAGTCAACTTAGCTTTACTAGAAGAAAGAGATAAACTTTCAGTTATTTTTTGGTTATTATTTCCATGGACTATGTCTTGTTCATAACAGGAGAAGCTGTTTTGCTTGGAGAAGCTATTTTATTTTGTATGTAGACGTCAAGAGTTACTTTTCCTGTGAAACACATGAGGGCAGCAAAGGACTTTTGGAAAGGTGGTTGCAAACCATGCAGTTTTAATTTTTATTTTAATTAAATAAATAAACCCCCCAAAACCCCAAACAAACAAAATCCCCTCCTATTTTGGGAAAATAGATGTATCCCGGATTGATTTGCGTGAAAAATTCTGTACAGCATTTCAAGAGGGAAAAGTGTTTCTCCTGGATTTGCCCTCTCTGCTAACTAGATTTGTCAATTTATCTTGTTTGAGAGGAGAGGGTGTAAGAAAAGTCAGTGTCTTCTCTGATGGCTACTGGCTCAGGGAGAGTAGAAGTGAAGAAACAGCAAAGGTAGGTGACTGACGGCCAAAGTGTTTCAGAATGCTTTATTTTTTCCACTAAACTACCATGCTATTAAAGCATTTTGTACTTGTCCTTAGATGAGCAAACCCCCACCAAAGTACATAGAGAGCCCTGTCTATAGGCACACAGTCCCTGCTCTGTTTTTAATTACTCCAGTGTAAATCTAGCTTTGCTTCATTAAGATAAAAGAAAATACACTTGTAAAAATAATATCAGAATCAGGCCTATAAAAACGAATAGAGTATAAAATTTGTGTTAGGGTTTTTTGTTGTGTTGGTTTTTTTAAAGGTTTTATTGATATCAATTCTTACTGCTTCATTGACACAGGTAAGCCATGTATTAGTTACACAGTTCACACCAGACAGGTGATTAAAATCTTTTTATGCAAGTGTATACTTTATGTTGCAAGATTTCTTATCAGAAAGTCTGATTTAGAATTTTATAATTGTAAATGCTTATTTTAAAATATATTTTAATGGCATTTTGCATAGTTCTTTACTGTTCCGGCTATTCATT